GTGATCTACTGCTCTGGAACAACTTCACTGCACCATTCTGGACAATTAATATAGCCCATTAATTTTTTTTATTTTAGGCTCTAAATTCCATATCATATCAGTATTTTATGTAATGAGATGTAATTTACAAGCTGAATTCATAGTGGGAAAGTAAGGTCAGTTGTGCCACAAGCATCCTGATTTTAACAATGCTGTAGAGAATTATTTGAAGCAACAAAATATAAGTGCAAGATATGTATAGACTGACAGATTAATGGTAGCGGAATCTCCCAGGTCACAGATCTGATATAGCAAATGCTAATTGCTAGGGTAGCAAATACTAACTTCTTTTTGCAAATGCCTGACTCATAACACTTAATCATACAAAAGAACAGATTTTCACATCAAATGCAGAATAAGGTGTTTAGTCACCAACACTTCGCATCCTAGATTTAAAGCTCCCTCCTGCAATTGAATCCATGCAAATACCCAAGACTTGTAACTGAATTTTATTTTCCTCACAGAGATTGCTTGTGCTTTTGGGATGCGTCATGGTAGCCTGTGCCCTGCTTGAGTGTCTTGAATACATCAGTAACACCAAATGCCTACGTGTGAATGAATACATCAGTAACACCAAATGCCTACATGTGGATAACTTAAAGGATAACAGGCCCTTTAAGTTAAAAAAAAAAAGCAATGACACTTCCTATTGCCATCCAAATCATCAACCTTAGTTTGCTTTCCCCCTATGCCACCAGCCAGTTTTAGAGCACAGAACATTGGTTTCCAATCAAAAGATTTTCCTTAAAGAATTTAAAGAATTTACAGAATTAAAAAGACAAAAAGATACTCATGGCATAACCATAATTAATGGCTGTAATTTTATACCAATAAAAATCAGAAAATATGAAATTAAGATTCTTGCTATAATATACCAGTAACATCGTGCAGAAGGGAAGTTTTATATAACTTTTCTCTTTAGAATATATCCTCTTAGAAGCTCAGATGGCAACTGCTATATAGCTGCCAATAGCATTAGGTAGTCAAAAATATTAAAATATTTCTTTTTTATTCCAAGTTACACTTGTTTTCAGAGACTCTGGGAAGTTAAAAGATAGGAAGCCTAAATGGAAAAGTGCTTGCTTTTTATCTGAGTCCTTGCAAAAAAAAACAAATGCTGAGAAAAATTAAAATTTATTTGTTGCTTAGTGACCATGAAAACAGTCTAAGCACCTAGGCAAAGTTCCTTTGATTTGTCCTTTTAAACGTATCTTATTCCCAAAGCCATATCTTAATTCTTACTGTGCTGATTCACTCAAGTCCATTTTCTCCAGTGGGAAACTCTGAACGTACAACTGCTATTAACAGATGGTTCCTAGACCACTTTCTTACACTAGTGCTCTTTTTACAGACCTAACAGTAATGACAGCTGCTCCTGCACAATTGTTAGAATAATAATATTGTACTTTAATAATTATAACAGCTTTGTTTCTATAATGAAGTTTTCTATTTATCATTTTCATAATTATTACCACATTATGACCTCAGCTTAACAAGGACAATATTAACATATAAATCAGTTATATTGGTATTTCTAAAATTTGCAGTAGTAGTTTATCATTATTATTGGATGTAGTGTTTTCCAAGTATACTCAGTGTCAGCAAAGTCTTCTGTCACTGAAGTCAGACACATATATAATCATTAACTTCAGTGAGCGAGAGTAGTACTGCAGTTAAGATCTACTGACAGATCTTCTACTTTGTGCAGAAAGAGATTGCAGTTTAGGACAATGCTGCTGCCGGAGTCATTACAGTTTCTAGAGACTCCAATAGCAGAGTCACCCAAAATCACTGGTGACAGTTGAAGAAATTTCAGAGAGTACTTTTCTAGTTTAAGGATTACAGATTTGTTTAGGCACCAATATTCCTCTGATATTTTATAATCTTAGCATTCCAAGGGTCATTTTTAAATGCTATGTTTTACTTTTATTCAAATTTAAGTCTAAAGTCATCATGTACTGTACTTACGGAACCAGTTTTCTGTTTTTAATCCAACAACAAAGTCTGTTTTATCTTTTAAACTGTGAGTGTGAAAACTTCATCCATATTTAAGGTTTTTCATAATTATATCTGTAATTACAACTATAAAGCTTTCAACCCTTTCTGGTAACAGATTGTCTCTGATATCTATTAATTATTTTTATCACATTAAAAATAAGATAGGGCATGCTTACAGGACTCATGGCTTTACAAACAGTATAAACACAAAGCTTAAGCTTTGGCAACATTCCATATTTTACATTTTAGCTTGGCAAACACAGATTTCACTAATCAAGAATTAGTAACTGAGGAGAATATCAGAAAGCATCTTCTAGGGATAATTTTATTCAAATCAACAGGCCCAAATAACTGAGGGCATCTCTTCTATTAATTTTTAATAAATCTTGAAATAGCAGGGAAATTCCAAAAGAATGCTAGTGTGCCATTAATTTCTAAAGAACAAGCAGCAAAACTGGTTAGCCTGACATCAACCAAGACAAAAGAAAGAGTGAGCTGATAAAAAGTCTAATTGGTAAAGAGTAAAGAAAGTTAATATAATAAATGGAAGGAAGAAGGGTTTTAGAGAAAATAATTCTCATCATAGTAACATGATTTTTATAAGATTACAGATTTGTCTAATAAAATTGCCTAGCTTAGACTTTGTAAAGCAATTCATTCAATAACATGACTGATTAAAAAGTTTGCACTATGTAATATCAATAAAGCACAAGCTAAATGGGCTGAAAATTGATTAACTGATATGTCAAAAAATACTTGTGAGTGAAATGATTATCATGATCTACCAGAATCAATGAGGGAGAAACATGTACAAAATTAAAAATAAGGATAGAAACATAAATAACAATAAGGACAAGGCACTCTGATCATTTGGTCACCCTGATCCTGCAAACCAAAATGTGCTTTAATACAGCCAAATGCAAAGTTATAGCAGTAGGATCACTGAAAGCCAATCTTATGCCCTATGGCCTCTGGAATAAAAAGAGGATGGAAATATTATAGAATATAGATGCTACATGAGAGTTTGAGATGAGGGCATATAACAAGGTATGCTCTCATATTTGTCCCAGTAACATCATGGCAAGAAAAAGCCAGTGCTTTCCTAGACTGTACACGGAAAGAAAAATTAATTAATGTTCCTCTGTGTATGGAACTCATACAAATTATGATTAACCATGATTACATACATGGTTTTGATCCTATTTTAATATTTGAAAAATTGAGGGAATAATAGAAAAACATGAAAATGAGAACACTGGAGAACATGCTTTGCAGTAAAAGACCTAAAGAGCTCAATAATGTTAGTTTATTAAAAAGCATATTGAGAGGTGCTTAATTTTTTTTCAGTGGATTCACACAGAGAAAATACTAGGAATTAAGGTTCTGTGCAGTCTAGCGTAAAAAAGTATAACAAGAATAGGAAGCCAACAGTTGAAGACAGACAAATTAAGGTGATAAATTAGGAACATTTTTTAACAGTGAAACAGTTTTTGCTATAAAAAAAAAGCTTCCATGCTTATGATTGTTTTTCTGCAAGCTAGTCAAGAATAGATACACATCTAGGAGACAGACACAAGCTATAAAGTTTCATAGAAGGGAAGCAAAATGAATTTTGATTAGATGACCTAATAGTTTTTTTTAATTCTAAATTCAATGTATAGATACTGTAATTTTTTACTACTGCTAATATACTGTCTTTCAGTACATATATTAAGGTACATATATTCAGTACATATATTAAGGTACATATATTTCCCACTTCTGTGTTGTGTTGCTTTGCAGACACTAACAGGGACGTGCTCAGGATGGGGGGGAACAGTTTGCTAAAGTTACCTCTTAACTAAACTGCGACTTAGGAAATAGGACGATCGGTGTTTGGTTTTGGCAAAGTACTATGTATTGTGATTATTAACTGGGTGCTGTAAATTATTAGGAGGAATCAACTGCCTGAGCTTCTCCTTCCCAAAGTTTGGAGTACTTAGATAAGCCATATTTATGTGTACATGCCACAGGCACATATTTAACAGAACAGGGAGCAACAAACTTGTCTTCCCTCTCCTTTTAGCTTCTATGTCCCTTAGTGTTGGGCCTACATGAACTCCCATTGTGGTCCAGCATGACAGAGCCTCCAGCAGCTCAGTTACAGCTGCCAGAGGAGCTGGGAAGACAAGTGATGCTCGGCCTCTGACAGCAGTAAAAAATGATCATCACATTGTGTTGAGGCACTGACCCTTGTCTCATGATCTTTCTATTTTTCAGTTACAGTCACCAACATAAATCGGTTTGAACCAATTCAAACCAGTTAAAATGTTTTCACCTATTCTACCAAATCATTACTGGACTAGTCTAAAAGGCAATCAGATCTGTTTCAGTCATAGCAGAGCCTGCCACAGATACTAATGATACTAACAATGTAATGGTTTGACTTCTTTCCTGTGACCCTCCATCCATGGTGGAAACCTGGCCTGACCAAATTACAAGCTGAATATTCAGGTGACTGACAAGTCATCCACAGTGATCCTTTTAAGGAGTGTCAAAGCTAGCACAGGTAATGCCTTTGGAAGTCAAAGTCATAGTATTGACTGCAGTTGAACACACTCTCAGGATCTGCAAAGAAGCCCGAAATACTAAGTGTCCAAATTGCATTAAAGAGCATTTGGAACAGCTGAATGTCAAATCCTCCATTTCTTGGAGAGTCTCTGTTTTTATGGGGTCTCTAGGCATTAGTATGAAATTTCTGCTGTTAGTATTTGCACTATCGCTACATAAGGCTGAAGTTTTAGGAGAGTGTTAGCTTGCCCTTTACAATAAGTCCTTAATTAATGAAAATAGCGTATACCAAAGAACATCAGATAGTAAAAATAACAGGTAATGTACTTTTCACTATAGTCCTCTCACTTTCAAATATTTAGTTTTGCTATTGTCTTAGTTTATGTAACACCTTAATTTTGTATTTTTCACAGAAATGTAACCTGGAATAATTTAGCTATCCCAGACACCCACTGTTCCAGAGAGCTAGAAGAAGGTTACCAGTGCCCACCGGGATTTAAATGCATGGACCTTGAAGATCTGGGACTAAGCAGGCAAGAGCTGGGCTACAGTGGCTTTAATGAGATAGGTCTGTCTTACTGGTAAAATCAATTTCAGTATCCATTTAAAAATGTTTTTAAAATGAATAGAACAAATAGTTCATATTTGTGCTGAAAAGACATCAAGTGCAGTCAGTATTCTGCTCAACTAGAGCACATGCCAGAAAGAGAAGCTTGCTGTTTGCTTTGCAGTTATGATACATTTTTACATTGCCTGGGATCTCAGGATTTAAATAACTTTAAAACAATGTCTTCATAAGGAGTCAACTGTTGATTATCACCAGTATACAAATGTGATGACTAATTTCTGTGTTTTATTTATGATTCATTTTGGACTATATAATTCATCCTGTTTGTCTGATTTTAGTAATAATTCCTATTGGAAAAAAAAACCACCTAGAATTACTTTGATAATCATCTTGTTACTAAGAAGAGGAGTGAGAAAGTGATATCATGTGTATCTGTGCCAATCTTGATCCAGACTCTGTTAGTCAGAACGTCACCCAGAAAAATGATTGAGAGTCAGGAAGATTTTGCAATACAGGTACAATTTGTGTTCTGTGAAAAACCCTGCAGAATCACCAGGAGAATATGATCTCTGATAGATGCAATGTGTCATGCTATCCCCATGGGGAAATGAGTGTAGAACAAAAAATCAGGAAAGGTGGCAAGAGCATGGGCAGCTGTGGCAAGATCCACATCCCAATGGAAAATATGCAGTTACTCTGTCAGAACATTTTGGTTATCTCATTTATTTAACAGACAAAGGTCCAATAGGAGCCTGCAACTGTAAATTTTTATTTCTGGGGAGATGGGGAAGTCCCTTCAAATGATAGAGCGTACGCACAGGCTGCATTCCTTCTGATGCATCTCTTTGACTTTGATAAGCTTTTTTTTTTTCACTTTTCCTGGCATGGGCTCCAGACTGTTGTCCTGTCCCCAGTTGAATTTGAAGGTAGTCAAAAGGTTTAATGACTGAATGACTGTAATCCAGAATAGTTTTTTGAGTATTGAAAGCCTTTACAGCTGAAATTACTTCAGTTGGTTCCCAGGTTGCTGAATATACAGAATGAGCCAGAGAGTTGCAAGAAATAGTTTCAGAATCCTGCTACAAGAAGTACTCTGTGATACCAAATAATTTCTGGACAGCAACTGCCATTTGTGTCCTTTCTTTTTTCTTGTGAGAAAGGGAGAAAAACCTGATTTCAACCAAGCACTGTTCTGTTTCCTCTGGGAGTCAGAAGTGTACCAGTTGTACGAGTACTGCTAGCTGAATAGCACTATTGATAGTATCAAATTTTACATAAATTTTTTCTTCAGTAGATATCAAAGGATAACCCTGTCGGATCTCTCAGTCAACCTTCAGAGTTATTGCTATGCCTGGATGAACATGGGCTGAGTTCACAGTAGAACCTAAAACCATCTGCACATGAGTTCTCAAGTTCAAGGTGGTTTGACAGGGGAACATAAGATAGATGTATCCTCAGTGGAATAAGGCCTCAGATTGAAATCACCCTTCTAATCTTGACATGTGAAATTATTTGTGGCATTGAAGGGTGTTATTCTAGCTGCCTACCTAGTCACCCACAAAAAGCAGTTGCAATGCCTTAGACAAGCTTAAATGGGTAGATGATTTGAATGAGGTCCAGAGTGCTTAATAAAGGAGGCCAGTATGTTTTTAATGATGGAGGCAGGTTGGCAAAGACAGGTGAAATAGTTTGTCCATGCCTGTGATGCTGGGTAAAAAAACAGGACTGAAGATTTGGTCTCCTGAGTCACAGTCACACTTATCAATATGTCTTTTTGAGTGTTGCATTTTAAAGGTCAGAGATTGCTAGTAGACCTAGAAGACTTGTCACTGATAAATTGTTTTTGTCTAGAAATAGGTAAACAGGATATAGCACCTTTCAGTACAGTAGCCAGCAGTAAATTGAATATCAATTGAAAGCTGATTACTAAACTTTAAAATACTGGGTAAGACACAGGCTTTGCTACAAAATGTTAAATACGCTTCCTCAAATCAGGAGTGTTATAAAACAGGATTATAACCAGTGAGTTTATCAATATTTTATAAATATCCATTTTGTGATGCACATTTGTATGTAATTAATAGGTAAGTAATGAAGTCTTCTCTATGCAACTATACTGTTTTATTGTATACATTCATTGATTTTTACTTGAAGATGTTATGATACAGCCTATCCTGTTGGATCCTGAAATCTATCATTACACAAAACACAAGAGATAGCAGTTTGGCTGCTATTGTAAAATTAGTAATATTTAGTTTGCAGCATATAAGTACAAGCCATGAACATTTGAATTTGATAATTTCTGTTATTTTTCTTCTCTATAAAGAAAAAAGGAGGGATTTTTACAATTTTATTACTGGGTGAAAACCAAGTTGTCCTAATCAGATAAAAGCTAATGGAGATTTTAATACTGGGAGCTATGCCAATTAGGTAGTTTCATATTTGGAAAATACCTTGATTTTAGCCATACTCTGCTCCCACTTTTATAAATGGCTTTGGCTTTAAAAGGATGGAAATTGGAAAGATAATAGTGTAGGTTTTAATACTTATTTAAAAAAATAAAATTTATTTCTTTCTCAAGCTTTTTAGTTTTGAGGTGTTCTTTTTATCTATTTTATGTATGCTTCCATGCAAGTATGTATGTACTGCATAAGGAAGAACATAGTTATAGACTACTGATAAATGGGGCTTGAATTCATCTTGTCAAGACAATCTAGGCCATCCCCTTCGGATGAGAAGCAGGCTTCATAATCTTTCGAGGCACCCTATTGTGCTGATTCATTGTCTGTACTCTTAGGAAGATTTTCCTAAAGGATAACCTGAATCTTTCTTCTTTATGCAATTTAAGGTCATAATTTCTCACCTTATTCACTATTGGCATAGACAAAACCTTAAAAAAATAGCTTTTTTGCATCTTTCCTTATGCCTCCATATAGCTCTAAATGCTTCCGTCTTTTGCTGTTATATTTTATACCTTAAATTGTTCTTACTGTCCTTCTCTAGACCTTCTGTGGCTGATTCACCACTTTGTTGAAGTGCAGTACTGTCAGAATACCCCAGTAGAGCCATTACTTTATGTATTTTTAAGCTCTGTTACAGTTTCTACATCCCAGTGAGATGTTTTCCATTTTCAGAACAACATGCTGTGGGTGATTCATGTTTTTCTGATTTATTACAGCCCTTGCATCCTGTTGAAAGAGCTGCCATCGCTGTTTCCCATCCTTTATTTGTTTACTTATTTCTTTTTAAATGTACGTTTGTCTCTGTTGAATAGCATACTTTCTTTTGTTTTTCCACACTATTTCTTCAATTTACAAGATCTTCTGTAATTTTAATTCCTTCCTCCTGAATACTTTCTGTATCTTTCCACTTACTTGTATCTGAAATTAGATAAGTGTAATTTATTTTCTATCAACCTGGTCAAGAGTGAAAAAATAAATAGAAACAGACCAAGATCAGACTCTGGAACCTTGTTTGATGAGTCTTACTCTTCTGACAAAGTTTCATTAATAGCTGTTCATAAGTACACCTAAGAAATGGTTTTGCACCCGTCACAGAGCAGCATCACCTAGCCATATTCCTGTACGTTGCCGTGGTGAGACAATGTTAAAAGCCTTTTAAAATCAAGGTGTAGGCCATCAAGTGTTTCTTCTCTCTTTACAAAGCCTGCCTCCATTCTGCATTTGTATGGCATTGATAGAATAAGATTTGTTCTCCGGTTCTCCATATGTTCTCCAGGGCCTGTACCCTTTAATATATATTAATATATTGAGACTTACACCTGATGTTTGTGAAGATAATTTTTCAAACATGGGCCACATCAGCATATATCAACAGTAATGCCTCTGTTCTTCAGTGTACATATTTCTAGATTGCATGTAGGATGAAATAAACGCTAATTAGTATTGCCAACTTTATCAATGTAATTTCTAAAGAGAGCGAAGTTACTAAAAGCTAGGACAGTTCTGTCTGGCAATAGCTCTGGAAAAGTTATAAGCAAAAGTCACAAAGGTCTATCTCATAAGTGTTTGTAAAACTGAAGAATTAATGAAACAGGAACCAATTAGCTAAGGTCCCAGTACTTCCCTTTCTCTGTGAAGTTCTGAAATGGAAGGAAGAAATAGTAAGGAAAGAACAAGATGCCCATCTAGGTAAACTGACTTCAGCTGTTTCAGGTTACAGGTGATGAGAAGCTACAGGAAGTTACTGCTTTCTTTTAGAAAGTTGCTCATGAACTCAGTAGAAACCTAAGTACTCTTTCCAACAGTTTGACACAGACCTTGTCTTCTTAAGTATGTGTTGTTCTTACCCAATGTAAGCCTTAATATTAAATTACCTCTTTTGTCCATAAGAATGCCTGAAAGACTTTTTGAACACTAGCTATGGGGCTGAGTGGGAGTAAGAGAAAGTGTATGAATGAAAGGCTTGGCTGGCTGTGTGGATGTGGGTGGCAATATTGACTATACCTGTACGGTACTGTCAAGCTCTTTGCTTTCTCAGACTTAGCTGGTTTCAATTCAGACTTCTATAAAAAATTAGAACAGCCTTCAGCCTTGTCTCCCACTGAGAGCATCAGGTACATTCACAGATGGCCTGTTTCTTCTTTCTGATTTTATTTTCTTCTTCTTTGTATTTTTCCTAGCTGTGTTAAATTCCATAGGGTATAGCTGATAGCATGACAGTATTATGAAGCATGTAAACAAAGTTGAGCTAAATATTGAGAAAAATTGCTTTTGTTTTGTGAACAAATAGTAATTGTACAAATTATTAGTCACGTATTTGTTTAAGTATTTGCATCTGATATACCTAAAAAGCATAAATATAACTGTTGAATTAAATAAGAGTATGCAAATCTTGGCAATTGGAGGGCTGTAACAAGCACTTCTGCCTTATATTTCACTGTTTATCTGAATGTGCATCTACTTTAAGTCACTATTTAATATGGCAATAATTGCTATCAGGGGCACATTAAGGGTGTTGGCAGAGCTGTCTTTATGGGT